CAATCTTTCGTAGATGTCTTGAGGTGTATCACTTGTCAAGATATGTGGAAGTATTCGATGAGGGCGTAATGTATACCAAAAAGCATCTGGATTGTCAGATTTGGTGGGACGGATAATGCAGTTACCTAATAATAGCTCGTGACTCATATGATATCGGGCTATCTTTTGTGTGCAGAGTTGGTGAAAACAATGTCTAAACGGACAAAGAATTTTCATGTATGCACGTGTTATTATTTTGAGGTGTGGCAAACATACAAACTTGACAGACGTCGTCAAGCTTTAGTGAGTAGCAACTGCTTGTTCTCTAACGGGAGGAGTTTTGGAGTAGTATGTGGAGGGGGAAAACAAAGTTCTGTCAATTGTTTGATAGCATTACTGAAGGAGCGAAGAAATACAAGGAAGTGGATATTGTATTGTCTTTGTCTAGTTGCGACATCAATATACTTCGGGAATGTGAAAGAAGTTCAAACAAAATAAAGCATCCATGGAGATATGCTTATCAATTGGCAAACGTATCCATTCTCATTGTTAGCATTACCTCCAGTTTCTGGAAGTGGGAAAGAAAAATGCCTATTCGTTCTTTTACTACTGTAGATTTCTAAATGCTCAGAGACGGATTTGTTTCGGGAAAGAAATAAGAGAGGTTTCTACAGGATACCGCACGCAAAAGAAAAATTATAAAAAAAGTCCTAAATTTATTGCACTTGTGTCAATTCAATTCTACACTTTTCAATTGTGCCAATTGAATCCTAAACATTTTGACAATTTGCCAACTTAATTATTCTAGCCAATTTTGGTCGGAAATTGCTGGCGCGGACGTTGGCCATCTTACGTGTGGATGGTGCTAACGTGAACAATTTTTAAAATATTTTGAATTTTTTAATAATTTTTTTCTTTCTTTTAATTTTTCCTTCTTCCTTTGCTGATTAATGAGTCTCGGCAACAATCGGCGACCGGCCATAGGTGAGGACCGACCTCACCAGCCTCAAGTGTGACTCGACCTTGCCAGATCCCGACGATGTCGAGTTCGCCAGTGCTTCTTGATCGCCACCTCCCGCCACATGTCCTCGATGTCCACGCCCATCCTCAGCTTCTGCTTCAAGATGCTCTTGCAAGCGAGCAGCTCCCGTGAGCCCCGATTGATGCATAGGTAGGTGATCCCAAACTCGCCACTACCAAGCTTGCGATCGATCAGGTACCTCTCCTCAATGTTCTCCTTAGGTACGCCAGAGAGGACTGAATTAGGAACCGATGATGTAACCCCCGGTTTCAAAAGATTGCAATCGAGAACCGAATTGGTCAATCTACAATCACCGACTTCTTCGTACTGATCCATTTTATGTTTTGGGTAAAAAAATCAAATTATTATAATAAAATATAAAAATTGCATCATTTTATTTAAAAAACATTTGTTGAAGTGGTTATGATATTAGGAAAAATTTCAAAGAAGGACCTAATGTGCCTTCATTTTCTCAAATAAGGACATGAAGTAGACCCTATTTCAAATAAAGACTTGAAGTGCCCTTATTTTCTCAAATAAGAGTTTGAAGTGGATTTTGTTTCAAATAAGAGCTTGAAGTGGCTATGTTTGTTTTAAAAAAGAGTTTGACTTTCCGGATGGTAAGAGAATTTTCGTTCTTTAGCTTTTTTTGAATTTTTTTCCTTTTCTTCTTTCTTTTTTCCTTTTTTTCTTTTTACTTCGTCGGTGGCTAGTGATCGGCCACCAATGAAACTTAGGAAGGGTTGGGCAAGGGCCAGCCTTTCTGGGAATAGGCGAGGCAACCATTGCCCTGGGCGACGCCAGCCCACGCCAAATCTGGGCTAGGGTCACCCTCGGCTAGCAAAACACTTGCCCAAGCGAGGTCAACCCTCGCCTATGACTTTCGAGGGCAGCCCTGCTCAAGGCGAGGGTCACCTCACTGAGATGAGGCCATCCCTCGCCAGCAGCTGGCGAGGCGACCCTTGCCTAGCCATTTTTGGGCTTCGCAAGTGGTTGGTCAGCCATTGGTGGCCGGCGAAGAAGAAAGAGAACCATAAAAAGGAAAAAAAAAGGAAAGAAAAAGAAAATTAATTTAAAATTAAAAATGTCTTTGGACAAAAATGTCCTTAATCGGTCAGAATATTTCGCCAGCCAGTGGCCAGCCAACCACTTCATGCTCTTATTTGAGAAAATATGAGTATTTCAGGCCCTTATTGGAATTTTCCCATATTATTATTTTTTCATGTTGAAGAATGAGCTCAATTGTAGATAAATGTAAATTTTCTCTTTTTTTTTTCCCTAAAAGTTTTCAAAACTGATTTAAAACAGGTTCAACTTGGGGCACAACTAGTTGATCGGATTCCCAAGTAGAACCTTGACCTTGGAATCGGGAATCGAATCAATTCTGGGTCGAAACTAGGTTCGCGGAAGTGGAACCAAACCAATTCTCCCTAAAATTGGCCTTGAATTGGTCGGTTCAAGCCAGTTCAATTCGGTCCCCAGGTTGAACCGGATCCGATGCTCACCCCTCATGTCTACTTCATTGTTGTCGGCAAATAGTTGTGTGAGCCATCTTTGCCAAAGCGAGTTCCTCCGCTACAACCTCTTTGTTGTGTGCATGTGCGCGCTCGCGGGGGAGAGAGGGAGAGAGTAAATCAGGTCGTGGGGGTGAACACGACTGCAGACCTGAGGTCGCTAACCTCGAGTGACCTCTGACCTGGAGTCCCTCGAGGCTGGGGCTACCGCGCGAGCCAGCCCTTGAGTTAGTTCGCAGAGAGGTCAGCATGAAAAGATAGAGATGGATAGATTGGCAATGGAGCACGGCTATGGAGTATGACGGCCAGGCGGGAAGAGGCAGTGCGTATCCGATCACGGTGGCGCGCGGTGGCTGATGCAAATTGTATTGGAGGAGAGAGGGGAAGTTTGTATTTAAGGTTTCGTTTGTGTGTTTGGGGAAAGGCTTTGAAAGCCCATTTTGTGGACTACAGTGCATTTGGAAAGACTTTTCTCTCGAGGCATCTTCAGTCCAGCAGTAGCATTATAGCTTTCTCGGCATGTTGAAAGGTAAGTTAATTATTTTCTTTCCCATCTTACCCCCATCAATAATCATAATTCCAATTTTACCCTCTTTTTAAACAGAAAAACTCTCAATCTACTCAGCAAATCCACAAACGCAAACCGTGGTCGAGGGACGGTCGCCAAGGGTCGAGGGTCGATGGTTGACGGTTGCAGGTTGATCAGGCGAGATTTGGAGGGTCGAGCCGAGGTCTGGAGAATCAAGGCGAGATCTAGAGAATTAAGGGTCGTCGAGGTTCGTACATCTAGGCTCCCTAATGATGGCCAAGGCTTGTGCAATGGTTGCCTGTCAATGGTTGCGCTTGAGCTCATCACCATTCCCAGATCTGGCACGCTGCAATTTCCAGGTTCGGTATATGAACTCACGCGACTCTGGCGCCACCTCACTTGGGGCTGAGCAACCTTGGCGACCCTTGCTCGGGGTTGTACAATCCCGATGACGTTCTGTTGCCTGAGCTGCTAAGGTCACCTAAACATCTATGTTTGTTTCCTTTTTTTTGTTATGACTAAAGTTTTATAAAAGTATAGATTTTTTCCAAATGGCATTTAAATCAAAATTGCTTCCTAATGCACTTTTCAATTATAATTTGCCAAATACTATTCACACTTCTTAGAAACCCTTTAGTCTATAGTCTTTTGCATTTATGCAAAGGTTTTTCCAAAATACTCTTACAAACGCACCCAAAGAGCTCGTATTGAAGAAGTCATCAGTTGCCTAAGTTGGATCGTAATGTCTCTCTCCTCTAACTTTTGGCCCCATCGACTTGGGGTGGAGAGAGCTTGACGATAAGGGAGATGGCTAGTTAGATTTCTATAATGATAGATCTCTGTAAAGGTATTTATGTGACGAATACATGTGACGATAACATGTAATTAAATAATAATCAAAAGTGTGAACAAAAACACACACGACACTAAGTTGAATAAAATTTATAATATACGAACACCAATGATTAATCGATTATACCATTTCATTGCTGTCAGGTGGGATAAACGTCGCATAAAATACATTCTCCCGTTCACCTCTCCACTCTTCTTTGTATCACCTTTTTGAGGAGGCTGAGGCACCAGGTCAGCTTCGTGTGTTTGCCTAACATAAGAGGACACACGAATGGTTTTCTTGAAAATTGGTCGGATGACAATCGAGGTGGATTAGTTGTGGGTACATGGAAATTTACTGTATTTGATCATTGAAATTGGGATTAAAGAACGTTAACGAAAGTGTTTCAAAGTGGTATGAAAATTATGCCACGAAAAGGTAAATTATGGCCTTCACTCTTTTTTCTTTGAGTAAGAATTCTCCCCAAAATAATGTACTGCTTGATTTGATTCAATTTTTTGTTTAAAGAAGAGAGATTGTTGCTATAGTACTTTATTTATCTAAGCATTCAATGTCCTCTCGGCCAATCACTTTTACTCTTAGCTTTTCGCAACATTTTGTAATCCATGCATGCACTTGATCATTTACTTGATGCAATTGAACAATTGTATCTCTATTCATTCACTAAAGACTACTCCAAATTTGGATGCGTATCTAAGTGAAGACTTGGGCTCTCTTATGATAAACCAAATATCATTGTAAGGAAAAAGACATTATCTAATTATCTATAGATAGACGTAAGGGATGATCTTAAGCTGCCATGAATTTGTCTAACGGGGGTTTGGCGCACATTTGTGAAAGGGATAACACTGACTCTGGTACCATGTTAGAAAGTTTAATCCAAAAACTTAAGCTAATAGGTAAAGAGAGACCACATGAATATAAAAAACATATAAGACCCGTTGTCAAGCGAATATGAGATAATACTTCAACAAAAAGATTAATTATCTTAGCCTCCCCGTTACACCATTATACAAGGATTCGCCACCATTAACGCATTCATATGAAGCTCCCATTACTGGAGAAGCACACAGGCATGCATGAGCGCAAGCACACAGCAAGAAAGAAGAAGAAACATGGTGGATGATCTCGTGCGGTAAATACACATATAAAACTGCTCTGTCTGGTTGTGTCCGTGCACCTATGATCGCTGCCAAAACGAATTGTAACAAAGAAGTGCGATTCGCCATGTTGATTCAGCCCAGAGTTACCTTCCATTTGTTAAAGCCATAGTACCTAAGTACATGTGTACCACTGGAGGAATGAAGTGAAAAAACTGGTTTTACGATAAACGCTGGCAAATTGCGCCTGCAGGTCGCAGCTAATCGAGAATCTGAGCGAGCTGGAGATTTGAAGAACATTTTAGAGTTCACAGTCTATGCTCCGACACGGGGCTCCTGAATCTCTATGGCTGTTCTCGACAGGCTAGCCTCGAGCTCGTCAAGTTCATTAGTATCCAGCTCGTCCTCATCCTCGCTCGGAAGGACTTCACCTTCGCCAACTTCTGTCGACGAGGCACTAGGTCCGTCTCCAACCGAATTGCCATCCACCTGAAATTTTACAAGACATTATATGGCATGGACTGCTCAATGGAGATCAAGCACCAGATTTAACAAAATTAACCAAGTGAAAGACATCATCATGTTCAACCTATAGAATGCATTTTCTTTGGGTCTCATAAGCAGAGCTCTTATCAAGAACAAGAAATGTCAGGCATTCACAAGCTAGAAGGACAATGTTCTAGGAAACTCCATTAAGCAAATGGGTTTAAATGAAAATTCCCACCTGCTTCCTGATGACGCGAGATTGTTCCTCTCTCAAGTGCTTTTCACATGCCTCAACAACATCGACAAACAAGCTTGAATTGGACAGGAATAGCTCAACATCATCGACAAACAAGCTTGAATTGGACAGGAATAGCTCTCGGCCACTGAGAAGCGTGCAGAAAATTCCACAAAATTAGCATTCAGAATATCTCGCTCTTCAATCCAACACAAAACAGATACCCATGCCCATGCACACGAGCACACAGTGCCAGCACAAGAATAGAATGACAACAAAACAAGAAATCGACAAGTGAAAAGCGCGATACAGGCCGCATGACAGGCGATTTGCATCTGCTACAACACCTGCATGGATACAGCAGAAGAAAGAAAGTAGAGTACCTCATCCGGTCATTCTTAGCCCTCTCTTCTATAAGTGCCGCTAAGCGAGCATCTCTCTCTGCAATCTTTTTCTTCTTCCATATCCCGAACAATTCGGGAGTCAGAGGAGTCAAAGTAGTCAACTCGGTACGCTGCAACCCAAAAACAGATACCCATTGAGCACAACATTTCAGTATCAGATAAACACGAAGATATCGATGGCCACTGCTTCAACGCCGGCAAACTCAAGTCCATAGGAAAACACAGGACAGATCCAACAAAATGAGCCCAGAAATTGACGACTTACCTGATTCTCAATTTCTTCCTCGAGAGGCGTCCTTTCGCTCTCTTCTTCGAGCAAAGCTTTCATTTGGGATTTCAGGACATATCCAGTAGGAAGTGCATGCCTGTAGTGGCAGTCTTTCCCACCATTTGGACAAACCCAGAACCAACCATACTGTTTCTTCTCCACTGCTTCCAAAAAGTACTTGCACACCTTCACATATTACAGAAAAAGAACAAGTCATAATCTAACAAGACCAATGACAGAGTCAAGAGCTCATTTTCCCTGCATCATCATTGTGAAAAGCTTCCTTCAGTTACACCATTACTAAAGATCACCACGGATTTTGCCATGTATCATCCTTACTAATTATAAACTCTATGTGCTTTCTGAGGTGGTAGGTCATTGCTTGCTCGAGAAATGCTAAAGGAATGGATTCCAGCTCTTTTTAGGCAAGTTACTACATGCCCGCAACATTTTCCTGAAACACGATATCCTAAGAAAAGATCGATGAAAAGCTGATCTTTGTTCATGGAACCCCAAAGAAAAGAGCTTAATCTAAAGACACATTGATACAGCACAGACATTTTGTACATTTGTACTCAGCGAAAGTGATTGCACCTCGAATCACGTTACTTGACAAAGAATTCATGAGACACTTACGAACACTTACGATATCAGTGGGCTTATTCTGCTTATACTCCTTGTTCTTTGACTCAACAACCTTCTCCAAAGTCTCTTGATCCCACTCCTCCATTGTACCTGAAGTAGAGAAAATAAAATCAGAACATTGCTACAAATTACACACGATAAGCAAATACTAGCAACAGTTAAATTAAGCTAAGATTATGATAAAATATTAATCACAAAGAAATGGGAAACAGTCAGTACCATCATCCCGTTTGTCGCTGTAAAGATCGATCTTTTCTCCTTTGCGCTGAACATTCAAATCATGCGAGAATTTGCACTTGAAACCTTTGGCACACTGCCCTGCCTTGTAGAACTCACACACGATGGACTTGGGATCAACACCTGATCAACCCTCCATTCATTACTGAATCTGTTTGAACTCATTCGCGCTTCATAGTAAAAAGATTCAAAGGCGCAAAAAGCCGGGAGATATTACCAACAGGCACTTTGGGCTGGCTCACGGCAATCTTAAACAAGTCGTTGAGCTCCTTATCTTTCGCCTTACTTTCTTCCTTCTTCTTCTGAAAGGAACAGAGAAAAGAGAGACCTATTTATAATTAGATCAGCAAAAAACTCTGTCCTCTGCTCTTTTTGACTTTGCTTTTCATGGAAATTAATGAAAGAATTTACTTGAACCTATCAAACCTATACCTCTAGTCAATCATACTACCTCATTTTCTTTATCAACACAGATTGTTAGTATATAAAATGTGAACGTCCACTCTCTTATCAATAGAAAAAACGGTCGCCCATTCAACTTCAAAAAGTAGAAGAATCCACAATTGGTATCAGAGCAAGTAATCGTGGGTTTAAATCCTCCCACCCCTTAAACCAATGATGAGTTTCCTTATGTGTGTAGGGATCTTGACAATTCCTTCACTCATATGTGATTGAGCTCTGCACCATTAAGGCCTTTTGTCATATCGATCTTCGCAAGACGTAAGTGGTCATGAGCAAATCAAGGCCTTTAGTCATATCAAACACTATTTTAGCTCCTCGTCTATTTTGCATCGACCGATTTTCCCAAGAAAATCAGAGTTACAACGGCAGAAACACTAAGAAGAAGGTGTACAATCGGACCTTCGTGGCGCTCTTGGAAGGATCGGTCTTGGGCTGCACCGACTGCTGGAGGGTCTGCACGTACTTCTGGACGTTCTTGCTCTTGTTCTTGTTCTTGAGCCCGAAGGTCTTGTCCTCGACCATCTTCTGCTTCTTCGCCACGTCGGCTTTCTTCGCGGCCTGCTTTGGCGGCATCCCTCGATCTCGTCCGCATCAATCGGCCCAAGCTTCCTTAAGAATCAGCTTCCGCTTCCGAGGTTGAGTGGAGTGAGGCTTTCTCCGATGGAGTGTCTACCAAAAGCAGAAGAGGAGACGTGAAGGAGGTGATCGTTTATGTATGAACTTGGAACGGCATCGAGAAGCAACGTGTGAGCGTTGCGTTGGCAATTTGAAATTACCGAACGTGCCATTGCAACTTTCCACGTGTCAGCTTTTCTGAGGGACTGGCGGGGGTCCCACGAGGGTTTTCCTTGTCAAAGGTTTTGAAAAGCAGTTTGGTTTATGCTGCCCGCAGCTGCTAGGTGGCGCATATCGGTGGCCTTTCACGTATGTCTCAATCGATTAATGATCGTTGGAATGAAGTGTGCATGAGGGATTGAAAAATATTAGAAACCCACGGAAGCATTGTGCAGGTACGATATTGTTTCCGCAGTCTGACGCGACTAATCTCCATAATGTATGTATATTGCCTCATTCATATTCATCGATGTAGACATGAAGAAGATGATAGACGTGTACCACAAACTAAGTGGGATGACAATGTAATCTACGACATATACCGAATTTAAAATAGAAACTTCATCACTCAGCATATTCATGTCCATAATTTGTCAAATTAGTGACAGCTTACTTGTAATATCATAAGCTTTTCTCGTTATAGGCAGATTCTCCCCAACCGTGTCTATGAACATGATCATCCATTGCTCTCAATAAGAAAGCTAATGCTGTCGAACCTTGGGGGACGGTGGTTGTTTTTTGATCTTCAACTCAAAGTATGAACTCTTTCTGCAAAACTGAGCACAATCCTCTAATACTAAATGTTAGGTTTGGACATAACAAGAGGATGTGGATCATTCAAAGCGTAAACAAATGTAGATTGTGCTAACTCTTTTTCGTGCGACTGCAATAACGTCAATGATTCAAGCAACTATGAGCCAAATTCGAACTTTCAAGTCTGAATTACTATAAGTTGAATTAATCTTGAGTGTCCCTGAACAAATTAGCTATTAATCCGCAAAATCTTCGAGTCTCTCCAATCAATCAGGTTGTATAATAAAATCTCTCTTAAAAAAAGTAAGTAGTACATCCGTCAATCTTTGATTACAAGCAATTAGGCACAATCACATGATTGTTAAGTCATATGGGTCTGTCACAATATATTAAAAATCAATAACATCTATAAGTTGGGTCTCATATCTTTTGGATTTACACGAACTTGATCTACATACGGAAATTTTCTGATGTGAACTTCTCATTTCTTGCAGAATCCCAAGTTGGGTTAGGGAAAGATTGGAGCGATTGGCTTCGAGTAGATCCAAACGCGCTCATTAAGGCGCACAATAAGAATAAGACCAATAGAGACTTCACAAGCAACCATTGAAGTTTCAACCGCGGTGGGTTATAGAAGCCCACACTCTTAATTTCCTTTCAAGTCATTCACTCGCAGATCAGCTTCCAAATCTGCTTTGGGCCATTGATCTCCTACAAAGAACTGTTTTCTAGTTTGCGTTGTCATCCCGAGCTTTTCATTCCTAAACATTTTATATCATATAATTTTGATATTTAAAACGTTAATATCTGCGATTTGTATTGACATTTAGTCCAAGTCACACGATCGGGCAAATTCTCTAAAATATGCATTTTCTACAAGTATGATTCTGCATTCATTCAAAGAATTCATCAAATACTTTAATGAGACTTTGTGATCATCAAAATTACTTCAGGGATTTCACTATTTGGTTTCCAAATTCTCCAACATATACAAAGGAAATACATGAATCAGGTCGATATATGCCAATGGTGAACCCGCGCTTCACGCAAACTTTCATTGTTATTTTCCTATTGACATTTTTCATTTCGAAAAACATAATGCGAATTACCCTTTAAAATTTTCGCAAGATCATTTCATATTTGAGTTCACCTATATAAAATAATTTATAACAACACTTAGAGTACATGAATTAATTCATAAGCACATTGCAAGTTTCATCAACTTTAATATATTTAGTTTTAAAGAGAATTGCAAAATAGTGAGTTGCCTACTTGTCTTTTTTTATATATTTATTTGCGCTTAAGTACCTAAGATTCGTCTTAATAGACTCATGAGGAAAAGGTGATTCAGCTTGATCGATTATATGTTAGAGACTTTTCTTCCGTGGAGGTTATGGCACTTGATCGTTAATTTGGTACTTTTATTCTTGACATGAGCCCCAAACAGTGCGTTTTCCAATGTCAAGTGATGAACAGTTTCGCTCATATGTTAATTGATTAACGGGCCATAGTAGATTCTGGAAAATTACTAAAAAGATCTTAAACCTATTGTATGGTTCCAATTCATTTATAAACTTTTTAATTTGGCCAATTTAATCATAAAACTTTTATCGATTTGCAATGTGGTCATTCAGACTAAAATTGATTGGAAATTTCTGACGTGACTGTTAGCTATCTTATGTGGTACGACCGGTGCTAACGTGAATGATTTTTTTATAAGTTTCTGAATTGGCCATCCATAGTGACCCTCTCCGATCCTTTCCAGGAATTGAACAATAAAAAGAAAAAATAAAAAATTTATAAAAAGTTCAAAAAATCAAAAGAAATTGTAAAAATCATCTACATCAGCACTGACTATGCCATGTCGGACAGCCGATGGCCATGTCAACAATTTCCAACAAATTTTGACCTGAAGGACTACATTGATAAATTTTCATAAGATTTAGGAATAAATTGGTCAAATTAAAAATTTTATGACTAAATTAAGCATTGTATAATAGGTTTGCTATTTTTTTTAATATTATCCCTAATAGTTTCATGGGTGAAGTCAGTATTTGTTTTTGCCGGTTGCTACTACATGCACTGAAAAATGAAGCATACGCCACCACGGTAAAGAAAAAATTATACAAATAGTCTTATCTATCCTTGATTTGAGGAGTATAACCATCCGCTCTCAAATTGATGGTTTCGGAGTCATGGAAACTAGTCGAGCACAATGAAAAGTGACTACTATGACTGCTAGCGGTAACTTTTCCTTTGTTTTGCTTATAAAATGATCACGTGTTTGTTGTACATAAATATATACACTGCGCCTTTATTCAATTAACTATTAAGGAGGCAATCTCTCGGTATATTCAACTTTAGAAGCCATAAAAAAAAAGTACCGGTGAAATTGGGCCGTAGTTGTTCTAGGTTCTAGGTGGCCGTTGAAACAGGTTCCTCAATTTTTAAAACTTTGAATCTACCATATATATCTTGGAAGCTAGAACAAGATAGATTCCCACCAGTCTGATTTTCAAATTCCAGTTCTATCGTGGATGTCGCGACCGAACTCCCGCTTTTTATTGAACACATGCAAAAAAGGGAGTTTCGCCTGGTACGTGCTAAGTCTAGGTTTGGGACTTAATTCGGGCTCTCCCAAGCCCATACCATATCGCGACTTAGGGTTTAAGTTTTTAACATGCAAATGGTTTATACTAAGGAGTCGCCACTAATCGATTTGGGGTGGGTCGATTAGAAACCCAAATAAGGTGATGGGAGAATCACCCTATTCCTGCGAATCAGAGATTAACTGAGTTCGGGGACTTGGTTACACTAGTTGGATAACTAATGCCCTTTCGGTACCATTTTACCCTGTTTATTTTCTTTGAAAACATTTATCAGGCAGTTTGGATTGATTTTAGGACCTTTCTCCTAACATGTGAGGTGATCAAGCGAGTGCATAATCAGAAACGATTAGCAGTAAAAAACACAACAATTCATGCAGCCTAAGGTTCTAACCTTAACTGAGTCAGATGACATTCAAAAATACAACAACTCATGCAATTGTACTAAAAATATGTATAATGATACAACGATAATAAAAACTAACATGCAAAATACTACCGCGCAACCTCAGGCTTGTCTAATTTAAACAAGACAAAAACTTACATAATAATACCACAATAAATTAAAACAACAAATATATCACAAAAAAAAATTTAAAAAATTTTTTTGAAATTTTTTTAAAAAAAAAAATTAATAAAATAAAATAAATACGAAACTTTTTTTCTTTTTAAAATAAAAAAATAATAAAAAAACAATGAGGAAAAAGAAAAAAGAAAAGAAAATATTTTTTAAATTTTTTTAAATTTTTTTTTAAAAATATTTTTTTATTTAAATAAAAAAAAAACGGGTCGGTGGATCCGGAACCGGGTCGGAACCGACCCGGGTCAACAATTATGACCTGGGGCGTTGACCCGGGTTGGATCGGTTGATCCGGATCGGTCGGACCGACCCGGGTCAACTGATCCGACCCAGGGCGTTGACCCGGGTCGGGTCGGCTGAACCGGGTCAGGCCGAACCTGTGTGAGCGGACGCCGGCGGAGCCGAAAATCGGCCTCTCGCCGACTGACCCAGACCGGCGCCATCCCTAATTCAGCTTCGGGGAACTCCACCGAGTCTCACCGGCCACCTGGGGTCGCCGTCCGACCGCCGCTCGTCGGCCGGCGACCGGATTAAAAACCGGTTTCATTGAGGAATTTTGTCGAGCAAATGGTGTGCACGACCAAAAACAAAAGATTCTGACCTGTTCCGGCGAACCGGAGGATTCAGGCGACCCAACCTACCTTCGGTGAAGACACACGGACGGCAGGGGACGGCGGTATGGGCCAGGACTCACGCGAAACGGCTAGCGCGGGTCCCGGCCAAACCGAGCAGAAAAACAGAGCAAAACAGGGGCAGTTCGGATCGGGGGGAATCTCACCGTCGACGGCGCGTCTGGAGGGGCTTCCGGCTGATCGGAGGGCGACGGTGACGCTGCTAAGAACCTGTAGAAGCCAACTCTCCTCTCTTTCTCTCTCTATTTTCTCTCTTTCTCTCTCTATTTTTCTCTCTCTGTTTCTCTTCAAATTGGCCGACCGGCGTCTCTCTCTCTCTGGCTATTTATAGCCGGCGACGATGGTGCCCCCCTGCTCCGTTACGTCTGCAATGACGACGGCCTGCACTGGCCTACTCTGGCGCGCGACTTTCGCGGCCATTTAGGCCGGTGTAGAGCAGGGGGGTCAGTTCAGTGAGGCGCAGAGAGGAACAGGGAGAAGAGAGGGCGGAGGGGATAAGGGAGGCCGGGAAAACGGGGAGGACGGGACTGGCAATTAATGCCAGTCCCGTCGGCGTGCCTCTTCGGCCCTGCTCTGGCCGGATAGGGACGCCAAGGAGCAGCGCTGCCGTGCATCACGCTGCCATCGGGAACAGAGGAGAACAGGGCAGCTAGAGCGACGGGGGAGAAGGAAGGAGAAGGGTTGGGCCGGGCCAGGCCCAGTCGTGCGCGGGGAAAGAAAGAAAAGCGGGCTGGGCTCGCACGGAGGGGGAAGAAAAAAAAAAAGAAATGGGCCGGGGCCCAGTCGGGAGAAGAAAAGGAAAAAGAAAAGGGCCGGGTCGGCCCAGCCCCGACTCAATTTTTTTGGTTTTTTTTTTAAACTCTAATAGACCCTATTAATACAAATGTGCCTAAATTCTATATGTAATGCATTTAAATAGAATATTTTTTTGTTTTAGGAATTAAAGAAAATTAATTCCTAAATTTTTTGTAATTAATTCTGGGCAAATCAAAAATAGGTGTCAACAGCTGCCCCTCTTTGAAGGTGAGCTCGTAGAGGTTGAGTTCGTAGAGGTTACATTCAAAGATAAAATGACACCTAAATTTGGCCCATGCATGCTCAATGAATGTTATTTTTGGCGAGACTGTGAGTCCCATTTTATGATGTGATATAAGATGATGCATGCGAAAGCAAATAAAAACATACCTGGGGCTACTTACCTTGCCGAACGGTAGAGTAATTCCAGATAGTTGATATTGTGTGTCGAGGACCTGAACCTTTCTTCGGTCGCCTTGACTGGGAAATGGTTTGTCTAGGACCCGAACTTATTTTCGGTCGCCTTGACTGGATTTGGTTTGTCCAGGATCCGAACCTTTCTTCAGTCGCCTTGACTGGGGAAATCGTTTGCCTAGGACCCGAACCTATTTTCGGTCGCCTTGACTGGATTTCATTTGTCTAGGACTCGAACCTTTCTTCGGTCGCCTTGACTGGGGAAATCGTTTGCCTAGGACCCGAACCTATCTTCGGTCGCCTTGACTGGATTTCATTTGTCTCGGACCCGAATCTACCTTCGGTTGCCTCGACTGGGGAAATCGCTTGCACAGGACCCGAACCTATCTTCGGTCGCCTTGACTGGATTTCATTTGTCTAGGACCCAAACCTTTCTTCGGTCGCCTTGACTGGATTTTGCTTTACCAAAGTACCTGCATCATAAGGGGCACCTGAAAAGACTTGATGTGAACAGAGGGGGTTAGTCCTGTGCTCAGGAGGGTGAACAAAGGGGTCAATTCGATGTTCAAAGGGTGAACAATGGGGTCAATCCATTGTTCAGTTGGTGAACAAAGGGGTCAATCCAATGTTGAGGAGGAGTACCATAACAATCGTAGGTACCTGGTGAACAGAGGGTTCAATCCAATGTTCAGTTGGTGAACAAAAAGGGTCAATCTAATGTTCAAAGGGTACCATAACAATCGTAGGTACATGGATTTTTGGAACCGGGCATGGGTAAAATGTACTTACCTGGGTACGTTCCTGCCTCTTAAGGGCATGTCTCTTGTCAGATAAGTTTTTTTGTGCAAAGACATACGTATTCATCGGAGAAATAGACAACTGAGGCTATTCTTGAATATCGTATGAAATATCTTGACCAGCTAGTCAAGATGCTTTTCTTTTTCAAAGAAACACCATGTTTACCTTCTGGGTAGTTTGAAAAGAAATCTGATGAAATACCAGGGATTTCTTACCCGGAGGTTCAATGCATCATCTGCTGCATACCCGACCTTTTTCGGGGCATCTCTCTTGGGATGATAATGAGGGCTTCTCCAGCGCCTGAATTTTCGTGTTCTATCACTGGGGATTAAAAACTCTGAGCTGTCAAAGATGATTAGCGCAAACATGCATGCATTCATCAAGGATAGACAAGCTAGGCTATTCCAGAATGTGTATTTGAAAGTTTATGCATGATGATTTTGCCTTGTTTGCATCGCCAAACATCCACTGAGGGCAATCAAGACAATTTTTGCTCGCTGGGCGGACTTCTCGAGATGCTGAACGAGGGACCTTCAGTCAGAAAGGACTTTCCACTCACTCTCATTGAAAAGGGCTATTTGTCCCGTCCAATAATGCGGGAACATCGAAAACACTCAGTCTGACCGTTATCACATCAACAAGGGTCTGAGTTTTCTCGCAAGCGGTACGACACTGCCAATCTGGGAGGTCTTCTCCAGGATCATAATGTAGGCTTGGTCGATGGCTTAACAAAGGTGACTGTCCAAGTCAAGGCCATGAAAGAAAAAATTCGGTAACTATCTTCAAGTTTACAAGTCAAGAACCCTGCAAAAGAGATAGAAGTAGTCTTGCTCGCACTTCCTCGAGCGTTGTTTATCAACATTTGAAATTCCATGTTAAATCAAGTGCCCTAGTCAGAAGAGACTTCATGAGGGATGTAACGTGAGCTTGGTTTACAGGTTGAGGAACGAAATGATCGTTGGGCTAAAAAATGTGTGTGGGGGTGAGAATTGGTGATCATCTTGGCATTGTCACCAATCTTTTCTCCACCGTCAGGATCTTTTTGGAAAACTTCATGGGTAATCCTGTGCTTTGACTTCTTAGACAGCTTTTTCTTGAGGAGCTTCTGCGTCAAGCATTTTCCTGGATACCATTCGATCTCTGTCCCAATTGCTTTCTCCAGAATAGGTTCGTCTTCATCTATCATGCGATAGATCTTTGTCAAGACAGAGTTCTGAAAGTAGGGATTTGTATCGAAGAAGAACTCAAGTTTAAACCCCTTTGGGTCGTCTATTCTACACTACTTAACAACTTTGAGGTATGTGAGAGCACTTTCATTATGCTCAGAGATCTCCTCAGCTAAAACCTCATTATTTTTCAAAGCAGTTACCCAAAAATTAGGGATTCCTTTCTTTTCATCTTTTTCATCGTTTTTCTTCTTCTCCTTTTTTCTTTTTCTTTGTTTTTTTATTCATGGGCATTGGTCTTGCTTTTACCAGGCACACTGCTTTTTCATGCCTCTAGTTTTCAGCATTTTTTGCTGTTCTTTTGGTGTTGTCAGGACTAGCCTAACAAGTTGAACAGAACAATGTTATTAGGCTCTTGGAGTCTTCTTCTTGATTCGGTACTTTGGACCATGATGTTCAAACTGTGATGACTTTTGCCTTGCCCCGGTGTGGAGGATGATCACCAGCTGGGTTCGTACGAAATGAAATCGCTGGCTCAATTGGGCTAGCAAGGGATACAAGTGTATGGGATAGAAGAAGAACTGCTCTTCATCATCCTAGGGCATTTAAATTATCGTGAGAGTTCATCTGCAATAAAAACACTCAAAGATTAATGCAAATAAGAGCAAGAAAATTTCTATTCATCTTTTCACCTTGTGCGAGCTGTTGCAGCTGATGATCATAGAAAATTTTAGATATTACAAACTCCTCATCCTTCTTGTCTTGCTCAGTTCCTAGGTGAAAACATCACTGTTATCAATAAGATGTTGGCATTTTGAACAGGCTTTAGTTTGCTGCTTCTCTCTTGACAAAACGCTTTTAGCCTCGACTATTCAGCCGTCGATGGTGTGCTTGTCTTGGAGGACTCTGTCGAGGACCGCCGGATCCGTAAAGACGACGAGGCCGAAACCACGGGAGTGGTGATCGAAAGGGAGGGACGCTCCTCTTGCTCCCTCTGAATTTGAATTCTCCATGTGATGCTGGTTTACCTCAAGTTGCCCCAATGTAGGGTGGTTCTTGACAGGGGTGATTTAAAGAAACCTCTGAGTGTATGGGCTCAAAAATGGTCAAGCAAAGGATCAATAGTAGTGTATGGTGTAGAGAAATGAACTGCCTCTCGTCATTTTGACTACCGTACCTTATGCGAGAAATCTCTTTACCTTGTAGAAATGAAACTTTTTCACTCATCTTGCGAGGGTTTGGTACGTGAGAATGTGTATAGACTAAGGATTGCCTCTTATCATCCTGACACACCTCGTTCAATACATCGGAGCAGTTCAACACCATTCGTCGAATTGTCAAAATTTTCACAGAGATTTGGTGAATTAAACAAGTAAAATTACCATGCGAAATTCTTTCTAAAAGATATGCAATGCACTTGGGGGAAGGTTAAGCATTTATTTGCTTTAACATGTTTCCTCTTTCTCTGTTTCTTTGTACTCTTATGAGAGAATTATTATTATTTTTTTTTTAGAGAAAGAGATACTCACCTATTCTGCAACAGTAGGGCAAACCTACAAGGTAATAAGAAAGACCGTGTTAATGAACGGCTCTTTGAGGGACAGGAATTGGGAACGATACAACATTACCCTTCGTGATTCCCCTCATTTGAGATTAAATTGACAACTCCTTGAGTTTTCTCGGATGTTGATAATTCCCTTCTGACAAAAACAGGGACTTATGTTAGAAATGAGATGATTGAGGGTAAATTGAGAACGATACAAATTACCCTTCTTCCATTTTGCCTTCAAAGCTAGCAGAGTCTTTTCTCCTCTTTACTTTGTTCAGCCTTCTCTGTCTCAGTCTGCTCCTTCATACTCTTGGTCTCGAAGCTCGAATGAAATCCTCTATAATTAGGGGTGCTTCCGAATAGAGGGTTCTTTTTGTTAGCGCATGCTGTGTCAATGCGGTTTCAGCATGTTGAGGAGTTTTTCGTGGATGCTCCGATTCCTGACTGCACAGGCATGTGCAATTGCTTGCATGGGGAACTTCGCAGCAAAGCTAATTTCTGCTTTAAAGGTCTTTAACGGATATGGGCGTGACTGCCATCGAGACTTCCATGGTTGTCAGGATCGGCCTTGAAGTCACTTTGTCATGTGCGAAATCCTTTCCGGTTAGATTTGCCACCAGGAATGTCCTTATCAATAACTTTTCTGCCAATTCCCTTGCTATAAGTTGGGACATAGAAGTTATTTCAAGGATAGTACTTCTTCACAGCATCAGAGTTGACCGGGTTGGAGAATTGGCATCCATCCATTTCAGTCAGAATCAAAGCCCTTCCAAGGAGTGTCTTTTTCACGACATAGGGACTCTTATAGTTTGGAGCGAACTTACCTCCAAGCTCAGGGGGTAGTGGTAGCACCTTTCTCAGGACAAGATCACCGGCTTCGAAGTGTCTTGGGCGCACCTTCCGGTTGAATGATCTGGCTACCCTCTGTTGATAACATTGCCCATGACAAAGAGCTTTCAGGCGCTTTTCATCAATCATATTCAGCTGCTCCAATCTTTACTGCTTCCACTATGCATCAGACAGTTTCACTTGGGACAATACCCGCAGTGAGGGGATTTCTACCTCAACAGGCAGGACCGCTTCCATGCCATACACCAAGGAAAAAGGGGTTGCCCCGGTAGATGTCCGAATTGATGTTCGGTAAGCCATTAATGCGAAAGGCAATCTTTCATGCCAATTTCGGTAGTTCTCAGCAGTTTTGGCTAAGATCTTCTTGATGTTTTTGTTGGCAGCCTCAACAGCTCCGTTCATTTGGGGACGGTAAGAAGACGAATTTAGATGGCGGATTTTGAATTCACTGAGTAAATCATCAACAATCTTGTTATTCAGATTCGTCCCATTATTTGTAACTATGGCTTCAGGGACGCCATAACGGGCGATTATATCTCGCCTGATGAATTTCATCACATTCCGAACAGTGACATTGGCATATGACGTGGCCTCGATCCACTTGGAAAAATAATCAATTGCGACCAAGATAAAGCAATGTCCATTTGATGCTTTCGGATTAATTGGGCCGATCACATGATGTAATTCAGTTGGTGGGGCATTTATCTTGTTTCCATGGATCTGTCAACGGTAACAATTTCGAACGTGTCGGATGCAATCGCTTTCTAAGGAAAGCCAGTAATAACCTAGTCTTGTTATTTTCCTAGCCAACATGTGTCCATTCATATGTAGACCACATACTCCTTCATGCAATTCCTGCATAATTCGTGTTGCTTCGGTTGCATCGACGCATCTTAGCAAAATAGAATCATAGAACCTCTTGTACAAGTTTTCACCACTGACGAAGAACTTCGTCGCCATCTTCATTATGTACCTTCTGTCTGTAGAGCTAATCCCTTCAGGGAACTGCTGCTCCTTGATGTAGTCCATGATATCGTAGTCCATGGTTTACCATCGGATTCTTCAGTCAAGGTCATGCAATGGGCCGGTCTGGTTATGACTTCAATCTTCAGAGGTTCTATTTCCAAACCATTGGTAACCTACAACATGGATGATAGTGTAGCCAGTGCATCGGGGAATTGGTTATGAGATCTAGATAGGTAGTCAAACGAGAGCTCGTTGAATTCTGAAATCAATTCCTCCAGATAGTCACGATAAGGTACTAGTTTAGTATCCCTAGTCTTCCATTCACCCACAGTCTGGAGTATAATTAAGGCAGAATCGCCGAACACTTTTAGTTTGGATATTTTCATATCAATTGCTGCTTGTAAACCGAGAATACATGCTTCATACTCGGCTATATTGTTGGTGCAAGGAAACACCAATTTCGAGGCCACATGATAATGCTGCTCATCTGGGGATATCAAGACTACCCCAGTGCCAGAGCCAGACAGGTTTACTGCTCCATCGAAAAACATGGTCCATGTGTGTTCCTCCGTTGATAAAATGCGATCATCTGGAAGACCATCCTCATGCGTTTCCCCAGGGCATTCAGCCAGCATATCAGCGATCACCCGGCCTTTCACTGACTTCTGCGATGACGTTTAGATGTCAAATTCTGAAATTAGAATCTGCCATTTAGCTAATTTTCCCACTAATGTCTGTCGGTTAAGCAAATACCAGATAGGGTCGTTTTCAGTTACGAGGAACGTCTGGTGGTGCAAAGTATATTGTCGGAGTCTATGCAACACCCACACCAATGCGACGCATGTTTTTTCTGATTCGGAATAATTCTGTTCCGAAATGGTGAATTTCTTACTCAGATAATAGATGGCTCGTTCTTTTCCGTCGTCGGGGTGGCTCTGGGCCAACAGGGCTCCTAACAATTCACTGTGAATCCTTAAATAGAGAGTTAGAGGATGTCCTAGGACTGGTGAAACTAGTACCAGGGGACTCATCAAATACTGTTTCAGCTTTTCAAATGCTTCCCGACAATCTTCATCCCAGTTGATTTGAGTGCCTTTCGTGAGGAGTTTGAAGAAAGGCCGCGCAGTCTCAGACAGTTGGGAGATGAACCGAGCAATGTAGTTCAACCTTCCCAAAAGGCTTCTGACCTCCTTAACTGTGGACGGGGGTTGCAATTCACATATTGCTTTGACTTTCGAGGGGTCGACCTCAATCCCCTTGCTACTCACGATGAATCCGAGTAACTTACCAGAGGTCGCCCCGAATATGCACTTTACAGGGTTCAGGCGTAATTTGAACTCACGCAACCGGCTGAATAGCTTCTTCAAAGCTTCAATGTGGTCCTCTCCGCACCTAGTTTTGGCGATCATGTCGTCGACATAGACTTTAATTTCTTTGTGCATCAGGTCATGAAAGATAGTGACCATAGCACGTTGGTATGTTGCCCCAGCATTCTTCAAACCAAAAGGCATAACCCTGTAGTGAAAGGTCCCCCATGGAGTGATGAACGCCGTCTTCTCCTTGTCTTCATCGTTCATCCTTATCTGGTTGTACCCAGAGAATCCATCTATGAAAGAAAATAATTCGAAACCAGCAGTGCTATCCACAAGGACATCTATGTGGGGGAGCGGGAAGTCGTCCTTTGGACTGGCCTTGTTTAAGTCGCGGTAATCCACACAAATTCGAATTCGACCGTCTTTCTTCTTCACTGGTACGATGTTCGTTACCCAATCAGGGTATTGCGAAACCTCGATGAACCCTACTTTCAACAGCTTCATCACTTATTCTTCGATCTTTTTCGACAGTTCGGGTTTGGTCCTTCGTAACCTTTGCTTTTTGGGAGGCATGTCGGGATTGATAGGCCAACTGTGCTCGACAATCCGAGGGTCTAGTCCTGGCATATCAGAATAAGACCATGCGAAGACGTCTTGATACTCTTTGAGGAGAGCGATCAAACGTGTGGCTCTCTCTTCGGGAAGGTTGGCCCCAATCTTCACTTCTTTTGACTACTGAGTACCACCCAAATTGATGGTAATAGTATCTTCAGTTGTAAGAGGCTTGATTTGTTCATATTACTCCCAATTTCTTTGGATTTCAGCGGGGTCATCGCTTGAATCGTCAGAATCGCTGCTGTCAGTATCTACATCATCAGGCTGGACCGTACTAACTCCCTTGCAAGTCGCAAGAATATGCCTTCCTTTTCGTGGCTGGATATCATCAACGGGCCGGTTTGATATACTACCTCATGCCCTTAGAACATTATTTATTTACAATACACGGATTTACAACCTCAAAAGAGGGTGAGTTCAAAAAGACATTTCTTCCAGCAGAAATGACTACAAAAAACAAAACACAAGGATAGCCCCTTTTCCAGGGATTCATGCAGAAAGGAGAAGAAGAATTCTACTCAAGCGGGTTTGCGCCCATTCCCTCTACTGGTCCTTCGTCTATTGCGCCGACGAAGAAATCTTCGAAATCGTCGTTCTAGGAATCTAGCTCATCGGCTCTTCTCTTCACTGGTGTCAGCTTTTCCATGTCGTCCCATCCGCTAGGAATGCTGTTCTGCTGGTCTTCATAAAAACTTGATGGCATCTGGTAGTCAACGTAATAATCAAACTTACCACTGGGCTGGCCCAGAGTATCCATAATTTTCTTTCCCTTGCGTGCCTTATCAAAAAGCTCAGGGGCAGCGTCACGAAGGCTAGGTACCACCAAGAGATCATCTTCACCATGACATAACCATAGGGCACGAAAAGTGAATGCCCTAGCATCCAGTAGGTCTTGAATTCTATTCTTCAGAGCGTCACAATCATCCAGCGAGTGCCCGACCTCTCCTGAGTGAAAGTCACAAGATCTGGAGGGATCATAGTTAATGAAGTATTCAGGAGTAGGGTGTTTTGGGTTCCTTGTGATCAGTCCCTTTTGCAAAAGCATAGAGAATATCACATCCATGGATTTGGGAACCGGCGAGTATCGTCGTACATTGCCCTGCCACTGTAAGAGTTGGACATCTCGCCAAGTCATGTCGGGAAGGGCTCCCGATGGCGGATTTTCTTCGGGACGATTTACTTGGTTCACCTGCTCCTGATCGGGAAACGGGAGTAACACATCCGAGATTTGGCCGATAGTATCCATTAAGGACGCAAGCAAATCTCGTAGATCGCCTAACCGACACTGCAAACGTTCAAGCAAATCAGGCGGGTTCGTACTTGTCTGAGAGGCCGAGTCTTCTTGTATGGCTCCTATAAAGATGTCGTCAAATATGGTGACCACATTATCCAGCGTGTCTTCTCGTCCACAATCTTCCTCAATCGGTAGCTTGTCTAGGTTCCTATGTCGGTCAACAGCAACATTTACTGGAAGCATCGAGGAGCTCGGCTGTCTTGAAGATTCGGTAGGATGCTTGAACCCTTCTCCTGATTGTCCTGATAGGTTAAGATAAATTTTTTCATCCTGCAGTAATTTAGCAGGTGACGGGAAAGTTTCCCGGATATGGGGAAGTGGCAAACCGACTTGACCCGCTATGTGCCTTTTATTGGCATGTGGGTTTCCTCCGCGATACCCTAGACCAGCGGTACGGTGATTCTTGGCAGCCTGGATAGGCTCTCGGATGCCTCAGCCTCCTCTGCCGAGTCCCTGATCTGGGGTGAAACCATTCCCAACCATGACCTTCCCTACCATGACTAAGGCTTTTGACATATCAGGGACGAGGGGAGCAATTCCTCGATATCCATGCACAGTTGAAACGAGCTCGATGGACTGATAGCTAGATTCCACTTTGCCGCTTAGTTCGACATATGGGATGGCGGTTTCTTGATAGATCCGATGGTCTTCCTCTCCAAGGACTGTGATTAGCTTCCCTTGGGCCACAAACTTCACGCTTTGGTGAAGGCTTGAAGGTATAGCTCCAGCAGAGTGAATCCAGGGACGGCCCAGCAGAAAGGTAAATGCAGTGGGGATGTCCATTACTTGAAACAGAATGCTGAATACTGTTGGACCAATCTGTACATCAAGGCCAATCTCACCCACGGTGTTTTTCTTCATCCTGTCGAACGCTCGGACGGATGTTTTGGAGGCACGGAGCTTATACGTGTCCACATTAAGACGACGTAAGGTTGCTAACGGGCAGATATTCAATGCAGACCCATTGTCTATCAGAACTCGAGCTACATGGGAGTTTCTACATTTGACGGAGATGTAGAGGCTTTTGGTATGTCCCCTTTCTTCAGCGGGAAATTCATCTTCCGAGAATGTTATCTGATCCTTCAAAAGGATAGACTCCACAAATGCTTCTAGCTTGTCATGCTCAATTGTCTCTGGTACGTTTACTTCGCTGAGTACCTTCATCAGAGCTTTCTGATGCTTCACGGACGTTTGGAGTAGTTCTAACAAGGAAATCTGAGCGGGCAACTTGCGTAGCTGATCCACCACATTATATTCACTGGCTTTGACGATGGCCAGGAATTCTTTGGCTTCTTTGTCGGTAACAGGCTTCGGAGGCTGAGCGTCAGCTTAGGCATACGTTCGTCCTGACCTGGTGATTAGGTCCACATCCAATTCGTAGGACCATGGGACCGCCTTGTCATTCTCGTACCGGTAGGGCTGAGGTATTTTGATCACTATATGCTCCGCGGGTAAGGGTACCTCAATCGTCAGCTCCTCCTCCTCGTCTGGGCTGTCAGACAAAGGTTTGTTCACAAGCGTGGGGATGGATTCACTTGTTTCGGCATTCAATGCTGAGAGTTTTTTGTCCCAGTCGATGATAACCTCAGAGATGGTGGTCACTATATCGGTATGGTCGGCGTACACAATCAAACCTGCTTTCGCCATGCTAGCAACCCTTTCTTTCATTAGGGACAATGGCAGTACTTCACCAGTAGGATAATACCCCGCTTCCACTAGGGCGTTATAAACGTCAGCAGTGTATACTCTTTCACTCTTGATTCGACCAGCGTCGAAAGTGGATATGGCATTGATTCTGTTTTCATGTTCGGGTAGTGGGTTGTTTTGGACGTTTGGCTTGGATGTCTAAAATGAAA